ACATAAAAAAAAAGAAAGTTTCATTAAAACCTCAAAACTGCTTCCCGTGGTTTTTCAGGTCTTTTCTTTTAAGAAAAAATTACAAATTCTCTCTTTTTAAATACATAATTTGTTAAAAATACTCATTTTAAAAAAACTCTACTTCTTGACTAATTTTAGTTAAAAAAATAAAAATATATAAGCTGATATTAAGAGATAAAAATAAAAGAGTTACATTTGAAGAGGTATTTTTAAAATTTTTTCCTCTTTTAAAGGTAGTTAGGTGGGCCGGACTTCTCTTGGAAGAGCTTTTTAAAAGCTATAAACCTCTTTAACATTTTGTCTAAACAGATCCAAAAGCTATGTTTGGACTCCAGAAACCAAAAGCAGTTTCTAAGAAGCCCTCCCAAACAGGCTTAGAGACAAATAGAAAAGCTGTTTATGGGATATTTGTTTCAAGAGTTCACCTTCTGAATCATAGTTTTTAATTTTCTATAGTATTTTTCTCTCACAAAAAAATTTAAATTTTAAAAATTAAAATTATGAATTATAATTCTGAATCTAGACGTTTGGTTCATGAATTCAGAATCATTCTCGATTTACGTGTATTTTTTGTGAGAAAAAATACTGTAACGAACCACGAACCATGATTCGAATCAGAGTACGAATCCACTAAACAAACAAAGTATAAATCAAACGTCCCATGAGATTCCCAGACCCCTTGCACGGCAGTTGCTTTAGCTTCTCTCCTAAGGAAGGAAAAAAAAACAAAAAGAAAAAGAAAAGAAAAGACACCAAAAGGAAAAAGAAAGGAAAACCTACAGTGAGAACAAGGTGATGGGGTGGTAGATGTCCTTCGAAAGTCTATACACTTGAACTATATTATTGGAGATGTTGGTCATTTAGTGAATATATATATATATATATAATGATTTTTCTTTTATTAAAATTTAATAAACATGATTGTCCAGATGAAATAAGGAGAAGCTTTGAAAACAAAATAACTAAGAAAATAAAATGAAACATTGACTTTAAGTGAATTATGGATATTCTGAAGGAATTCACACATATAATAACACAATGAAGTGAAGATATTTAGAGAGCTTTCGTAATTGGTGTATAATTCCCTAATTCAACTTCCTACTTTTACTTTCAAATTACAAAAAATGGGCATGTGCTAAAAAATTATTATTCAATCCAGTGATTATCATTACTTCATAAAGTTAAGGACTAAATTGTCAAATAAAATGATACAATAATTCCCGAACGAAAATGTTAAATGATCAGGAATTTAGGGGGTACAGTTGCCACATGAAATGGGACATGGATCAGGGGACACAAGGATCGATTCAGGTTTTTTATGCCTGCATATCGGTCCTCAAGAGTCTTACCAAACTTTGGCATCATGTAACAAACCATCAATCATTCATTACCAACATCCATAATTGAAAAGTTTTTAGACGAGCAGATAATAATATGAAAGGAAACTGAGAGAAGCCCCAGTACTTTCCTGCCTAGGGTAAAGGATTCTGGATTATAGAAATTGTAGTTCTTTATCACATCAAAATTATCATGTGGACTCTAGATTCAATACTAGTTTCCAATCCACAAGGATTCCATAGACAATGAGGACTCAAGAAAATTCTACCAGCATTCAAAACCAAGTGCTACTCAGCGTCTAACCTTAACGATACGATGTAAATGCCCCCCAAAATTAAGCGGATTGAGACAAGGAATCCAATCAATGATTATATGAAACCAAATACTCAAATCCCAAATAACTTACTCGAGTATAATATGATATTTGCATCTTCAGTTCACTCAAGAAATTCCACAGAGACACTTTCTTCAAACAAAGCAAAACATCATTAGACTTGATGCATGAATATGGAAAAAGGGTCATCTACAATTTAGCATACAAGGCTCATCCGAGTGATAGAGATAAGAAAAGAATCAGCTTTGAAAGAAAGCAACGAGAAAAGAAACACAACAAAAACATATTTTTTTTCTTTTTCTTTTTCTTTTTCCCCTTTACTATAGAATAAATTTTAGTTGTACAAACCTAAAGGTCCTAGACAAGTAAACAACCATCCAACTTAGAGGACACTCTTTGCGATTTTGACATGGTTCAGCAATCACACATGCTGAACTAAGGAGCTTCTGACCCTCGGAATTTAACGTCATAAAGTTGTTTCAATTTGAACACTTCAAAGAAAAATCCGTGAAGCAGAAGATTTCATAGGCTCAACCATTTTACTTCAGTGTTTTCTCTTACAAAAATTTTAAATTTCAGTGCAAATTTTCTATTCAAACATGTGAAAAGGAATTGTAATGCCAATTCAAATCTTGATTCAATTAGATTAACATAAATACGAATTGAGACACATTGAGATAACAAATGCCAGTTACATCTTTTCTAATCAATAACCAATATTAAGACATTATATTGCACACAAATTGATGAGCATCACAAAGGCAATTATCAAACAATTAACTGTAAATTCTTCTCATAACATAAACAAAAACCTGGAAATTAACCAATTCAGCTAAATCACTTGAACAAAAAGGCCTAATTAGCCAGAAATTCATACAAATTCAATGAAACAAAAAGTGTTCCTATTTTCGTAAGAGAAAAGAAACCAATTTTAACTTCATAAAAAAGCACTTAATTGGAGATTCCAAAAGTAATATTCGGTAATTCAAATACTAAAAAGAAGAAAAGTAACCTAATCTGTGAATCCGATCAACTGGTCTTCGGATCGGGCATGGGGAACAATCCAGCGCTGGCACCTCTCGGCGGCGAAAACCCTAGAAACTTCTGCAGATTAGTCCGAATGCTAATCGAGCAGAGGAAGTACAAGAACGCCATGGAACAGTCGGTCGGATCGTTGCCTTGCAAACCTCGGTGGCTCATCTTCATCACCAATCCGAACGGCTTAAACGGCAATTTGGCGACGACTTTGCCTTCGAAGAGCGAATTGAGGAGTCCGAAGACGACGAAGAGGACGAGGGCGACGACGGCGCCGGACTTGAACTTAAAGAGGGAGAGATCGCGGCTGGATTCCTTGAGGCTGGTCTCGACGCGGTCGATCTTCTTGGTCTTGGACTTCTTGGCGGCGATCTTGGCCGATTCGGTCTTCATGGTCTCGAGCTTCTTGGCGGCCTTGTCAATGGAGGATCGGAGGGATTTGTAGGAGTTGGTGCGGTAGATGAGGAGCCACGAGATGGCCTCGCAGACGACGGCGGTGCAAATCGAGATCCCCACCACCCTCAGGCTGTCGGAGTACTTCAGCGACGCGAGCATCGAGGGCAACGCCATGAGGGAAAATTTGCCGAGAAAGTGGGAGAAAGTGCGAGAAAATTGGCGTGGCTTTAATCTGATTCGCTTGCTTGTTCTCTGATTTAGCCCCCAAACTACGGGTAAATTAAGTAAAAAGTGTGTTTAAGTAAATAAATTATAAAAAAAAATTAAGTAAATATGCCGCACATCAGTTATTTTACGTTATCAATTATGTTTTTAAGAGTTTTTTTCTCTTCTTTCACTTCTATTTCACGCTATTTTCTTCTCTCAGCCGTCTTTTATTTCTTCTCTTCTCAAGTTCTCGTCGTCGCACAACCTCATTAACATTATTATCTTGCCAATTTAATGTTTTTTTCTCGTCCAAAATGAAGTTTGAAGAAGAGCTACTAAGTAAGTCTTTTTTTTTTTTTTTCTATATCTCTCATGGTGTTTTTTATTGTTGTTCATTTTTAAGATGGGAATGTAGTGAAAAATATTAAAAAAACCATTAAATTAGTAATTTTACATGGTAAAAGACCGGTTTTCATTGTCTGATATGATGAATATCTGTTGGGTTTAGAAAAAAAAATGTTTGTTTTTGGTCTATTCTTAGTTTGTTCTTGGTCTGTTCTTAGTCTGTTCTTATAACATGGTCTGTTCTTGGTATGTTCTTATACATGGTCGGTTTGTGGTTTGTTCTTGGTCTGTTCTTATTGCACGGTCGGTTCTTAATATGTTCTTATTGCACAGTCAGTTCGTAATTTGTTCATGGTATGTTCTTATTATATGGTATGTTGTTGGTCTGTTGTTGGTCTGTTCTTAGTCTGTTCTTGGTCTAGTCATTCGGTTATTGGTATGGTTATTCTGAGCAGTCTGGTCTTATTTTATATCATGTTTAATTATACGTTTTTATAAATTGATAGTTTTTTTGCCTTTTTTTTATTTTGTAGGAACACTTTTTTATGGTATGTTCTCATTATATGTTCTGTTCTTGATATGTTCTTATTATATGGTATGTTCTTAGTTTGCTCGTGGTGTCTTTGGTTTGGTTTAATGGCATATTATTATCTTGATTAAATTTTTGTAGTTTTAAAATCTAAATAATGCCTCGGTGGAGGATTTTTTTTTACATTAAACAAAAATGGGAGGAGAATGAAAGTTGTTAGGTGTGGCATACAGACTGTAATTTGATTGGCGTATATATGGATGAGAATGATACTCTCGAAACCTTTGTTGATAAGATTTGTTAAAAATGTGGAATTGATGGACCAAAACATTCCTTCCAGTTATCATGGGTACCGAATTTGAAATAGAAATCGTTGCCCGTTGTAATAAAAGACAATGATGATTTGTTATTTTTCAGGGATATAGCCTACGAGGTACCGCTACATGTGATAGTAGATGAGAAGTTTATGAATCCAAAAGAATATATTGATGGAGTCAAAATTAGGAGAAATCTTTTGCATGACGATTTTTTTTATCGCAATTTTATAGGTATTATAACAACAGATGAGTTTTCGGCTCGTAATGATATTCTACCACAGTCACAACCACAACCAGAGTCACAGCCACAGCTAGAGCCACAACCACTTGCTATTTTAAATTAAGTAGAAGTTGTTGGTCCTTTAGTTTGTATCGACCAGACTGAGTTTGGATCATCTCATAGATCTACCTTCAGTGACGGATCTAATTTAGAAGTTGGTCAGTACTTTACAAGTAAGAATGATTTGAAAGAAAAGCTGCATTTAATTGCTTTAAAGGGGAAGTTTGAGTTTCGAACAACAAAATCAAATAAAGACGTGCTTGTAGTAGAGTGTGTGGATCTGAGTATGTGTTGCGTATCCGGGCCTGCAAATTGAGACTATCAAACATGTTTGTAATCCGCAAGTATAATGGTGTTCACTCTTGCTTATTAGAAAAGCGTTCAGTGAAGCACAAGCAAGCAACGTACTCCGTTGTTGGGAGTTGTAACGCCCCGAAGAATTAAACGAGATTAATTAAGGTAATTAAGATTTATTAGTGTGCCTAATCTGGCTTAATTAATTGATTATTGATTAATAAATGTTTCTGACGTGTAAATTTAAATAATTCCAAGGTATTTAAATATTTTCAGTAATTTTATTTTTACCCCAGAGGTGTGTGTGTTGGCACATTTTCTGGACTGTTATTTTAAATACTAGGACACATATTTTTCTTTTCTTTTTCCTTTTCTTTTCTTTTTCTTTCTTTTCCTTCCTTTCCTTTCCTTCCCGAGAACTATCTCTCTCACTCTCACTCACTCTCTCTCTCTCTCTCTCGTTCAAAATCTTCACCGAATCAAACCAGATTTCGAATCGAAGGAAAATTTCAAGAAGTTTTCAACGTCAAGAGAAGGATTTGACGTAAGATTTCTGAAACCTCTCTTGAATCCCAAGTTTTTCATATTTAAAAACTTATTTTTGGTTCGAAATGGATTTTGATGGATTTTGAGTAAAACCATGGTAGAAATTGGAGATCTTAAGTTCTTTGGACTTGATTCAGTACTTAGAACCCGGATCTAGTGATCTTTCTTTGAGATATTTTGATTTGGAACCGAAATTGCAGGTTTTTTAGGCTGATTCCGCGGGTTTTTTCTAGCCCTGCTATTCTTCACAGGTCGACCTATGCGGTCGACCGGACCGGTCAACCTACGCGGTCGACCGGACTGTACTAATTCCACCGGTCGACCTATGCAGTCGACCGAATTGCACACCACTGGTTGACAGGTGGTGTTGCACTGCTCTGTTACCAGTCGACCGGTGTACACGGGGTTTGACCCTGTTTTGCCTGAAAATGTTGTTTTGACATCAGTTTTCGAGGAAACCCCAATTTAGCTTCATTTAGGGACCTAGAGTGAATGGATTAGCTTCTTTAATCCATGTTTTAAGATTGAAAACCCTTAAAATGATGATTTGAAACATGAAATGGTTTGTGAAACTGGTAATTGGATTAAGGCACACTAATAGGAAATCAAAGGGTATAATTGAGATTGAAATTGCTTTAGGAATGTGAATTGAATCCTAAAGCGTTGTTTTGTATCAATGCTAGCTGAGGCCTCGGATTGAGGGGATTGAGGAAGCGAAAACTAGAATAGAGTAACGCTAGCCACCGGTTTGATATTTACGAGGTAGGATTTCTTACCCTTTCCTTTGTGAGCCTGTTTTCAAAAGAATTTTGGCCTTGCAAATGTTTTAAAGAAAGGGCATGTTTGCGAAAGAAAAAAAAATTTAACCCCCATGGCTTGTTGTAGTTCTGGGGAGTATAATGAACTGTTTCATAAAGTTTAATGAATGATTTCTTAAGACAAGAGATCTTGCAAATCAGTAAACCGACTGATGGTCTAGATAGGATGTGGAGAGTGCATCCTTGGGGGTAGGACCCGAAACCCAGCCCAGGGTGATATGGCTTATGCATGTGGTTGTGTAAGTAATTTATCATAGCATAAATTACTTGCTGATGCCTGTAATACAGAGATTTTCAGTTATATTTCCTTTGAGAAAAAGGATGTGAGGTTCCGACTGTTGTGTTGGAACTGAATGTCTTATTTATTCATTTATTTGTTTATTTACTTGTTTACTCATTTATTTACTTATTTACAAAGTTATTTCAAAATATATCCTACTGGACATTTCGCTCACGTTTTATTGTTTTATAAATATCAACCCCTCCCAGGAGACTCTAGAAGCACTGCGGAGTAGCTGAGTAGATTGCTACCACCGGATTTGGTGAGGATTGTAATCATCCTTCCTGTATACAAATGTAAGAATTGTAAATTCTGTAAACTCTAATATTTGGATTTCTAGACTGTGGTTGATGTCTGTAATGTTGTTGACATGTTCATGTATGTACAATACTACATATCCTGTGGGTGAAGCCCTGAACGGTGTTAGAGGCTTAGTTATAAACCTATTGTATTCAGTAATTTATTTTCAGTGAAATGTGGGGCTGGTTTGGGAATTTTCTTAATATTTTAATCTCAATCGCTTTTAACCCGTAATCGAGCCTCCACGTCACAGACCCTGGCTTCGGGGCGTGACAGAGTGGTATCAGAGCCTTAGGTTAAGAAACCACAGGATTGTACATACATGTGTGACATCAGGAATCCACTAAACAGTCTAGTTTCTTTCTAGTAAAAGGAGATGCCGCCGCGTCGTAGATCTGTTAACCAACTGGCACCACAGAATCAAGAGTTCATGGATGCCATGTATGCTGCTTTCCAAGACATGGCCACTCGAGCTCAGAATGAGCGACCGACCAAGGATAGGAAGCATAGTTACTTCCGTGAGTTTAGACGTGCACCTATCCCCATATTCAATAGTGAGGGAGGACCCCAGGAAGCAGAATATTGGTTTGACTCCATAGTTAAGCACTTGAACACTATAAGAGTGCCGAAAGAATATTGGGTAGAATTCGTGGTGTATAAGATGGAAGGTCAAGCGAGTAATTGGTGGAAACAGGTGAGGAGAAGGCTTAATGTCACGGGAATGACTTGGGAGCAGTTTAAAGTTCTCTTCAATGAACAATACTTCCCTCAAAGCTATAGGGATGAAAAGGCAATAAAGTTTATGTCTTTGTTACAGGGTGACATGTCCGTGAGTGAGTATGAGGTTAAATTCAACGATCTGTCCCGGTTTGCACCATCTCTGGTGGAGTCCAAACACCTAAAGTGTCTTAAATTCGAGAAGGGTCTTAAGAATTCCGTAAGGAGACCCTTAGTGGCTCTAAGGATCCAAAATTTCCGAGACCTGGTGGCTGCTGTTATAAGCGTGGAACAGGATAACTTAGCCTATTAGCAAAGTAAGGACGTAGCTGGTCGAGTTTCTGCTTTTGGTGGACTTTCTGCTTCTGGCAGAGTGGTAAAAGAAACTACAATCAAGGATAGATTAGTGGAGAGATGATCAGTGGAGGCAGTAGTTCCTCTGGAAGTGACATAAGTGGTCCTTATAGACCCAAGTGCCATCATTGTGGGCAAGGTTGCCACATTAGGAGGAACTGTCCAAAGCGAAATCAGTAGCCGACTTAGCAATCTCAGAGTGAGGCTTTTTATGGTCAAGAAAGACCACCGCAGTTTGTGCCGCCTTATCAGCCACAACTGCCAATGCCAATGTCATACCCTCATGTGCCAACCTACCATCCACCTTAATACCCATAGTTTCGGCCTCAAACGTCAGGACCAGTGCAGATACCTCCGCCGTAACAATATAGGCCAGGGACACAATGGCCTAACATTGATGATAAAGGAAAGGAAAAAGCATAGGGACAAGCTTACATCCTGACAAGAGGCAGTTTTGGAGGACAAGCCAGCAACACGGTGGTTGAGGGTATGATTCTTATCTCTCATTCTCTAGCACATGTATTGTTTGATACTGGCGCTACCCATTCTTTCATATCAAGTTCTTTCGTACAAACTTTGAAACTGAAGTCTGAGAACTTAGGAACCCCGATGATGTTGAACTCCCCACTGGGATGTGTAGAGGTAATTAGTGTGTGTAGATCATGTGAAATCACGATTGGAGGTGAGCGATTGAGAGCTGACCAGATAATCCTTCCGATGAGTCTGTTTGACATGGTACTCGGAATGGATTGGTTAGTAAGATCTTCTTGGTTCATAATTTCTAGAAATTGGGACCTCAACCCAAACATGATTCCTCCTAAGCCTAACAAGGTCATCCTTTCTCAAGACGCACTTGACAAGATTAGCTTTACGAAAAAAGCTGACAAGGCAATCAGAAACACAAAGTATCTTCTTTCTAAAGAAACGTTAGATGCCCATTAGCTATGTGACGCGAGAACTTTATCTCCTTCTCCAACGCAAACTTTTGATCCAGATGTGTTGTTTAATGGTATGTTTGACGCGACTACCTTAGAGGAATCTTTGAGTGGTACCGGGCCATTGCTTGATCCATCTTGTTCTCTGAATGACATGGAATTATTTTTTAATGACCCTATTTCTGACGTTTGTCAACCTGCTAACCCCGCTATCTTTGACAAAATAGGTATAACTTTATCGGCACTCCCACATGACTTCTTTTTACGCCTGTTATACATATATTTTTGTTATTGATTTTTTATACCTTTTTTTTACAAATATGGCTAGCAAACGTGATTCTGGACTTCCTTCTGAGCATCGTGGTGATGGCTCTCACTCACATGAGCACCACGTGTCTAGACATTTTCCCAGGGACTTAGAATCTCACTTGGCGTCTAGACCCACAAGGCCCCCTAGCCAATCAACCTTTGATCCTGAAATTTTCAAGGAACGGATGAAGAAGCAAAAGTCCTCCTTTGACGTTCCACCTATTGGCCTTAATGTATCAACTTCATTGAATCTTGACTCTCGTGCACCAAATGATCCACTTCCTCCTTCAAGACTAGCAAAAAAGTCTTCAAGTCAAGAACCTGGCCAAACCTCCAAAAATACTTCCACTTTAGATGTTGTAACTGATGGGTTGGTCCGCTTGTCCATCCACCCTTGCCATGTTCCAATGTTGAAAAAGATGGAGAAATTTGTGCCTCGCGATCATATTGACAGAGCTAAAAAATGAGAAGCCCTCAACTTGGCTAATTCAATCGAGCGCCGGATTACTGAAGTAAACCCCCTCTTTTTCTTCATTGAAATTTCCTGAACCCAAATTGGGCTTAGCTTTATATCTCTCCTTCTTTTTTAATGTTGGGATTTTCTGAGCCTAAATTGTGCTTAGACTCCTCTTTTTTGTAAAAGTAATTACACTAAAATTAAAGGAATCACAGGATAGTCTAAAGGCGACTCAAGAGAAATTGCTTCAATTTGAGAAATTGGTTGCGCAGACAGAAAGCATCTTAGATGGTTGGAAAGCTAAATACAATGCTCTTCTAACCTCCTCTGAAAATGATAGGAAGACTCTTGTGGAGACTAAAGCTGCTCTTGATATGTCTCTAAGGGAACTTGAGCGAGTGAAGAAGGATTTGGAGCTCTGCCATGCCAAGTACGAGGCTGATAAAGTCGACCTTACTGAAGATGAGTTCTGGAAAGACTACGAAGAAGCCAAGAAGGCAATCAT